ATACTCAAAGTACTGAACGGATTTGGATGAAATTTTGTGGAGTTGTTTGGAAGTGCCAAAGGAAGAAGTGATTAAATTTTGGCATCTCTGAGTGCAGAATTAAGGCGCCAAATGAGCTAAATACTACTAAATTTTCCAAGTTAGCCTACTCTGCCATAGATGGCGCTGGTGCTGTGAATGGGTGCCGGGAGCGTGTTCTCTCGGATTTTCCGTCTAGGGGAACCCTCCCCCGTCTCTCTACGCCTCCCCAGTCGTGAAAAATCCTCCTCGGAAGGCTCATGACTGCGGAGGATTGCACTCTATGAGTGTATATGCCTCTAGTTTTAATTGCAATTGGAACTTTAAAATTTATCACGCAACCTCAATCCTCTGGTCGATATTCTTGGAAAGTGCCCAATATATTACGAAAAAAAAAACCGTTTTACCTATTTTTCACATATTTCAATCAAGCTACTCGACACTTTAGTGTGTTTAATCAATATAAAACTTAACCAAACTGATTTACTATGTTTTATACTTTAATTTGAATTTATGTAAACATGGGAAAATTTAAAAAAATTACATTTTTTTTAAATTTACAAACAAGCATCGTTGCTTCAGGGCTAGAATGCTCGCCTGCCGTGCGGGCGGCCGGGTTAGATTCCCGGACGATACAGTTTTCAATTTTTCATCCTTTTCATCATTAAGCTAGGGTATTTATAGGCTTTAAACAATTTATACTTGATTATTCAATAACAAACTTTACTTTGATTAAATCAGTATCTGGTACAACTTGATTACTGGTTGATATTTAACTTGAGGGATATTTTTACAATAATCAGATATACAAAGATATCCATCCAAATAAACCATGGAGAAGGTATAAATCCAAGTTTTATAAGAATTCAGGAATGTCTCACAGACTCACAGACGTTTTTGGCGATTCATATCACAAAGAATAGTTTTATGAAACTCATCGATAAAACATGTTTGTTTAGACACTAAACTCACACTTTCCTTATTTTTGTACGCCTTATCGTAAATGAAGGACGGTTCATCGAAAAAAAAAATGGGAATTATTTATTTGGTATAAATATTGAAATAAATACCAAATATGCCACCGGTAAAATTGTTCTCAAGATTCATTTACTCTGATTAATTAGCAATTGCATCGTCCGGGAATTGTACCCGGGCCGACCCCGTGGCAGGCGAGCATTCTACCACTGATCCAACGATGCTTGTTATGAGATGTAAGTTCTATTAAAAATTAAGTTTTACTTGCTTGAAAGACTGTTATTTGTTTTCTATAGGATGTAACGATTAAAATAAAGACATGTCAAATACGAGATGATCTAGGATCCTTCCTTTCGAGTTATCTTCATATTATCATTAACTTCTATAGAACTTGTCCATCGTTTTTTTTCTTCAATGAGGCCGATCAGAATAGAGGTTTTTCTTTAAGTATTACTTTCTAAGGTCAAGGAGACTTCTCTGAATTCTTTGACCAGAAAAAACTTGCACAAGCTGAAAAATAATATATTAAAAAAATATTTGACCATACTAGCAATAAATACAAGTGTACAATAAAATTAACTGTTTGGCTTATCAGACAGTAGATACTTCGGTTTGAAGAAGATTTTGTCACAGTCCATAAAAGTATTGGACCGCAGGAGAAGAGTTATGCTTTGTCTGTGGCGAGAAGCTACCAAACAGCGCCATGGTGCCAAGCAAGCTTCAATGTTATCTACAAACGAAACACCTAACATTCAAAACAAACAATACGCTATTTTGTTCGCCTGCGTGTGGACATGAAAAACAGACAACGTTTAATAGGAAAACCACAAAGGTAGGTGAGAATGCGCTCAAAGCTAGTTACCTAGTCGCCAAACTTGTTCCTAAATCACAAAAGCTTACACTGTGGTAGATACAGATAATATACCTGCATTTGCCAGCGAGATGCTCGACCCTGATAACATCATTGCCCGACGTATTAATTACATGTCTACAGGCATCGAAAGCCATGTTTTGGAAAATATACGCATCAGTAGGAAATTTGCGATGCAAGTTGACGAGTCTACGGATATTAGTGAACATTCTCAGTTATTGTTAAATGTGTATTATGTGGATGGAGATGCCATTCGAGAAATTTTCCTATTTTGCAAGGTACCGTTTGAAAAAATACTGAAGAGGAATTTTTTTTGGGTTCCATCGTAATATACTGAGCAGGGAGGACTTTCGTGGGAAAAATGCACAAGTGATCTGCTGCCATGGCGGGTGCATCAAAGGCTTCGTGAGTAGAGTAAAGAGGAGGAATCCAGATCTGATTTTATGCACTGATTTTTGCACCGTGAGGTCCTCGTTGCTAAGGCTTTACCTGCAGAACGGGTTCCTGTGTTGGACGATATGGTGCGCATAGTGAATTTTGTAATGACAAAACTTCTGAAAAGCTGTATATTATCATCTCTATTTGGGGAAATGGGAGCGGAACATAAAACCTTATTGCTCCATACAGAAGTACGATAGCTGTCGCGCGGTAAGGTGCTGACCCGTGTGTATGAGCTTTGAGAGGAACTAAAAAAATTCTGACAAATGAGAGGTCTGACTCAAATCTGTTTGCAGGTGATGAGGGGTGCGTAAAGCAGGTATACCTGGCTGATATATTCATCATCATAATAAATTGAACACAAGGATGCAGGGCCGAAATGAAAACCTGCTTACAAGTACAATAATATAATGGATTCCGTCTAAAGCAGCGGTACTCAACCTGTCCTAATCAGGAGCCACTTAGCGAAAACATATTTTTGCAAGAGCCATGTAGCGCCACATTATGTAATAACACTGCATTATGTTACTAAAGTAGTAAATTTTCAGTAGGACTTAAAAGAGCCGCATGCAGCTCGCGAGCCCCGGTTGAGTATCGCTGTCTAAAGGATCACCTCTGGCAACAACAGTGCAACGTGCAAATCTGCAAATGTTCCCACTCACGGATCACCTCTGGCAACAACATGTGCAACGTGCAAATCTGGAAATGTTCCACTCACAGACAAACGGCAAAGCAACACTGCTGCACTGTCAGAGGTAATGGGTAAACATTTGATAAGTTTGAGGAGAAGTTGTCATTTTATTTCTCTTTAGCCTCCTCTGAATACTTTGACTGATTTAGGGACCCATACAGCTCATCATCGGCTGTTGGAAAGAACATGACTTTACAAGCAGGAGGAACTAACTGAACTGAAACTGGATCGTGGTTTAAAACTAAGTTTTTCTTATCTTCCTTTGGATACTTTTGGTTGATTGCTGCCAAGAGTTCTCCATTCTGGCCATCAAAGCAACATTGCTCCCATTTTCCACAGCATATCTGTGTGAGGTGAACTGTTCAAGCCTAACAGCTATTAAAAAAATAAAACAAAAAGCAGAGAGACTGACAGCTGTTGAAGAAGAGCTTCGTGTGTATTTCTATATTTCTGCCTGGATATCGGCTTTGTGTTCATCTAACAGACTCCAACAGACTGATTAAAACTAATAAGCTTTTTGGGATGTATTTGTATCAGTATAGAGAAGGTTTGATATGTAACAAACAATTGCATATGTTGCAAATGTAAATTGCATCGTCCGGAATCGAACCCGGCCGCCCGCGTGGCAGGCGAGCATTCCTACCACTGAACCAACGATTCTTGTCAATTTACAGTTTAAATACTATTTTAAGTCTATTTGACTTAAAAACTAGATTTATTAAGTAGTTTCAATGCAAAAGAAAGGGAGAAAATTAATTACGGTATTAACCCATTAAGGCCGACGCGTAGGTTTATCTACGTGCATTTTCTTTGTGACGTTATTCAAAATTATTTGATTACGTTTGATTGATTTTTTCTCTCCTTTGTTTTCGAACTGATATAACAAAGAGAATGGAACTCTTTAAAATATTGTTTCGTTTTCGATTGCATGATTTTACGTTATTTCGTTGAAAATGGCCGAACCGCTCAGATCTACTTCTCAAACGTTAGTTGTATTTTTCATTATTTAGAAAAATTATATATATAAGTTTTTATCTTTGCTTATTATTTTAGAAATAATTTTACATTATTTTTATTTTTATTCGTTTACTTCTTGCTTCAATATTCAGTACTATTTTTTCAACTAAAACTTTGAACGTAGATATATCTACGCTTCGGCCGTTTGGACATAAAAGTAGTATATAGTCAATGATTTATATTTCAAAAATAATATATATTTTGATTTTTAACTATTTATAGACTCTCCACTGGACTTTTTTGAACTTTTATTTGATAAGAATTATTTCATTGATGATGTATCAAACTAATTTGTATGCCCTTCAAAAGAACAACAAAGTTTTGGATTTAAGCATTGAAGAGATAAAAGTTTTTATGGAGGACTCTTATTACGTCAATCGTAAAATTGCCTTCCAAAAGAAATATTGGTCTTCTGGAGATAATATTCCTAAATTATTATCTAATAGCATTAGACGTGATAGATTTTGGGATATACTTCATAATTTTCACTTGAACGACAACAGTAGCCAAAATAAGGCCATTATTCCAACATTTACAAAAGAACTATCAAAATATGGAAAAATTCCCGAACATGTCTCGATTGATGAAGTATGATCCCTTATTTCGGAAAACATTATGCGAAACAATTCATTCGAGGCAAGCCCATAAGATTCGGATATAAATTGTGGGCAATGTGCTCTAGTGGTGGATACCTTCATTCCTTTGAATATATATGGGTAAGAACGTCCCATATACTAATCAAAGTGAATCGTAAATTGGAATCGGAGACAAGTTGTGTTGGATCTGATAGAAAAAGCTAAACTTCCCCAAATAAAGGCCATAAACTTTTTTTGACAACTACTTCACAAGTGTGTCTCTTTTGGATTCTTTGACATCAAAACGATACCTAGCGTCTGGAACCTGTAGGATAACCGTTTCCGAAAATGCCCCATAGCCAAGAAAGATTATTTTAAAAGTGTGATAGAGTGGCATTTGATTTTCGTTCCTCTGGCTCTACCTTACTTGTTCGTTGGAGGATAATGAGGAGTTCAATATTGCAACAAATAATGAATCATGGTCCATAATGACATGTAAAAGATGGGACAGAAGCAAGAGAAATATATTGATCTACCTCACCAGAATCCATTAAAATTATAATCACATATGGGATATGTTGATGCTATGATCAAGCCGTTGGAACATATCGGATCAGAATGCGTGAAAAAGAAGTGGCGGTGACCGATATTTTCATATATGGTGTCAACAGCTATAAATAACTCCTATTTGTTAATGAAATCTAAAGGAATAAAAATGACACATTTTGATTTATAGAAACCCTGGCAATACATTACTGCAAGTCATATGGCACACCAAATACACAAGGAAAAAAGCATCATCAAAGAAAGTCATCACAACACGTTTTGATCAATATAATCATTGGATTTCCCATACCGAAAATGCGAAAGTCTGCAAAGAATGTAATGGCAGAACTCCTTATATGTGTGATAAATGTGAAGTAGGATTACACCCAAATGTTTTAAAAAGTATCATGTTTTGTAAAATATAGAAAATGTTATATTTTTACTGTATATATTTGTCAAAGTGAATATTTATAGAACAATATAAACTATACTTCAAAAAATACTTCTTCTTTTTATTTTATTAT